CCAAAAAACCAAACCAAACAAAACAAAAGCAAGTGGGGGCTGGAGAGATGGCTCAGCAGTTAAGAACACTGTTCTTGCAGAAGACCTGGGTTTAAATCGCAGCACCCACATGGCAGCTAACAACTGTCCGTAACTCCAGTTCCACAGGATCTGACAGCCTCTTCTGTCCTCTGTGGGCATTGCATGACATGGATGCACTTACCTACATGCAGGCATAACACTCATACACGTAAAATAAAAATAATAAATAAAAAATATTAAAAAAAGAAGCAAGTTTCTCTATTTTCATTTGCTTCATGACTGACCTTCTAACTTTCTAGGACTCTTGGTCTTTCCCATCTCATGTTAAGAAAACAAATGAAATTTTTATTCTTTTGTTCTGAATTTTAGAACAAAAATTTAAAAATATATGTGTTTATTTCTGGATATGTGCATGGGTGTGCATGTGGAGGTCACAGGAGAACTTGCAGGAATTGGTTCTTCCTTCTACCATATGGGTCCCAGCGATGGACCTCAGGTCATCAGGCTTGGTGGGAAGTGCCTCTACGCCCTGCACCATCTCATTACCCCCTGAAACAAATTTCTATGACACCACAGAGTCTGCCCGTGATCCTCTCACTATCTTACCTTTTATTGCATACTCTAAGAGTGATTATGCAAATAATCATTTTGCCATCCCTCAGGTTTATCTAGAACAAACGAATTCATACATGTTTAGAGAGAAGAGCAAAGAATGTTGAAACATTCATAGACTCCAGAAAAATCAACATGAGAAATGGTTCTACTCACTTACAGAAGAGAAAGTCATATTTTCATTTAGCCATAATATTCACCTAGAGCTCAATCCTTCTTGTTCGACTACAATAAAAACAAGGGACTTATGGTCAGGTGGGGAGAGTGTAAAGGCATTCATGCGGCACAATCCATGTCATGGCCCAGGTAAATTAAAGGATGCCCTGGCACCAACCGTGGATCTTGCAAAGAACATGCTAGTGGGTTTAGAAAATATTAAGCCGGGTGTGGTGGCACATGCCTTTAACCCCAGCACTTGGGAGGCAGAGGCAGGCAGATCTCTGTGAGTTCAAGGCCAATAGGATCTACACAGTAAATTTCAGGCCAGCTGGGACTACAGGGAGACCCTGTTTCAAAAAGACCAAAAAATTTTTTTATTTATTATTTTTATTTTATGTGTATGTGTATTGCCTGCATGTTTGTAAATGCACCTATGTTGTACAATGCCTGAGGAGGACAGAAGAGGGTGTCGGATTCCCTGGAACTGGAGTTATAAAAGGTTGTTAGTCACCATGTGGGTGCTGGGAACCCAACCTAGGTCCTCTGCAAGAGCAGCCAGTGCTCTTAACCACTGAACCATCTTTCCAGCCCCAAGCTAGTGGATTTAATATAAAGTAAATGTTAAACTTTTCTTTTAAATTTAAATTGTTTCTCTGTTTCTATGAACTGAAGCCTAATTTGATTAGCTCATTTTAATTCTGTTATGTTTTTCTGAAAACTTTCAAACCTAGAAGTAAGTTCAAAGATAAATGGTACAAAGAACCCAATCCTGGGGCTGGAGAGATGGCTCAGTGGTTAAAAGAGTATACTGCTCTTGCAGAGGACCAGAGTTTGGTTCCTAGAACCCATGTCCAGCAGCTCTCAACAACCTATAACTCCAACTCCAGAGTGTTCAACACCTCTGGTATCTGCAAGCACTCACATTTATGTGTACATACCCATGCTCAGACACAGACACGCCACTAAAAAGCTTGCTTACCTAGAACTATCAGCTGTTAACTACTGCCATATTACACACAATCCTCAAATATTTCATATATATATATATAAAATATGCCTGTGTTTGTTGACAGGGTTGAAATTAACTTGTTGCTTCTTTAGCATGTATCTACTTTGAACAAGGCTGTCCTTCTACATACCCATAATTCCACTGCTGTCCTCAAGAAATGAATCATTGATACCAATGTCTTTGTGTGTGTGTGTGTGTGTGTGTGTGTGTGTGTGTGTGTATTTACGCATGTAGAGGCCAGAGGTTGATGTTGGGTGTCTTCCTCTATTGCTCTCCACTTTACTTTTTGAGGTAGTCTCTCACTGAACCTAGAGATTGTCATTTCAGCTAGACTGGCTGGCCAGTGAGTTCCTGGGATCCACCATCTTGGTACCCAGTGCTACGGTTCCAGACATATGCTGCTGCACCTGGCTATATTTGTGCTAGGGACCCAAACTGAAGTCCTTATAGTCCTTATACATAGCAAGTACTTACCTACTAGTCTATCTCCTTAGTCCTAACTAATGCCTTTAAAGATTCATTTATGTGTATGTGTGTGTGCTTGAGTTTATGTGCACTGTGATCATTAAGGAGCCCTTGGAGGCAGAGGACATCAGATCAGGTGGTTGTGAGCCACCACGTGGGTATTAGGAACCAAACCTGGTCCTCTGCGAGAACAGCAAGTGCTCTTAACCACTGGGCAATCTCTCCAGCCACATCAGTGCCTTTAAATAAATAGTTTATAATCAAACTTGCCTGATAGTTTTACTAATTTCTTGTCATTATTTGTGCATGAGTATTTTGTATGTATGTAAAGTACTGTTCTGGTTTGTTTCTTCATTGCTATGACAAAATACTGTGACCACTACCAACTTGGGGAGGAAAGGGTTTATTTAGCTTACATATCCTAGGTCACAGTTCATCAGGGAGCCCAAGGTAGGAACTCAGGGCAGGAACCTGGAGGCAGGAGCTGGAGCACAGGCCATAGAGGAATGCTGCTCTGGCCCCTGCTCCCCTGGCCCCTGCTCAGCCTTCTTTCTTATGCAACACAGACCCACCTGCCCAGGGATGGCACCACCCACGGTGGGCTGGGCCCTCCCACATCACTCATCAAGAAAATGCCTCTCAGACATGGCCACAGGCCAGTCCAATAGAGGAAATTCCCCAAATGAGGCTCCCTCAACCCAGGTGTGTCAAGTTGACACTAAAGCTATCCAGCACATGTACCATATGCATACAAGGCCCACAGAGATCAGAAGAGGGTGTTGGATCCCCAGGAGCTGGAGTTACAGATAGTTATTAGCCACTGTGTGAGTGCTGGGAACTGAAACCAGGTCCTCTGGAAAAGCAATAAATGTTCTTAACTGCTGAGTCATCTCTCCAGCCCCTTTAATTGATATTTTTATGTACAGAATCTATTCAAAGGCCACACATTGCATTGAAAACTTGTGTATTTTTTTTTTCTTTTTGAGACAGGGTCTTCCTGTAGCCACAGCTGACCTGGAACTCACTATTGAGACCAGGCCAAGGCTGACCTCGATCTCACAGAGCTCTGGCTGTCTCTGCCTCCCAAGTGCTGGAATTAAAGGCATATGTCATCATGCTCAGTTTGAAAGGTTTACTTTGTTTTTTTAAAGTTTTTAATAAAAAGAAAACGTGTATCATATGCCTCAAAAGTGTTTCTTTAAAAAATTATATTGTTAACGGCTTGGTGTAGTGGCACAAAGCTTTAATTCCAGCAGGCAGGTGGGTCTCTCTGTGTTAAAGGCCAGCTTGGTCTACAGAGTGTCCAGGCAAGGCAGAGCTACATAATGAGACCCTGTTTCAAAACAAACAAACAAACAAAATCATATTGTTAAGTGAGCAGAAGAGTCTTTCAACTTGGAGATTTCATTTTTTAACTTAAAATTTTTATTTATTATTAGTGTATGTGTGCACATGTGTGTATGTGTGTGTACATGCATGTGTATGCACACATGATATGTGTGTGGGCACATGTATGGAGGTCAGAGGACAACTTTGTGGGTCAGTTTTCTCCTTTTACCTTTATGTAGGTTCCAGGGATCAAACTCAGGTTTCCAGGCTGTCAAGGCAAGTGCCTTTACCCACTGAGCCATCTCAACCTGGGATTTCATTAGCTTTGGAAAATACTCTGATATTGTTCCTTTGATAATCGCCTCCCGTGCATGGTTTCTGTTTTCTCTAGAATGACATCCCGTAGTTTAGGTGCTGTGACTTCCAAGTTTATTTTACAGCTCGTTTCCTTCTTATTCTCTATCTTCTACTTTATGAAAGATCCTTTAGGAATTTACTGTAAACACAACTTCGGAGTTAGGTTTTTGTTTTCTGAGTTGTCTTTTTATTGTAGCCATTTCTTGTTTTATGAATGTATTTCCTTTCTGGGACCCTTGGTGCCCCTTGTCTCTCTCTAATGTACCACACTCTGATCCTCAGCTCCATCCTACCATGCCAGTCACTCAGTTTTGCTAAAACCTCTGGGCCGCTGATGACTTTTCTTGCCCTTCTTGTTATGGGTTTCTATATTCTTTTTATGACTTTATTGTCTTTTTAAAAAATCTTTTTGGGACAGGGTTTCCCAGCCTGTCTCACTATGTAGACCAGGTTGGTCTCAAACTCACAGAGATCTGCCTACCTCTGAGTGCTGGGACTAAAGGCATGCACCACCACGCCCTACTCCTTATTACTTTATTGTCACTTTGGTGGAGTCTTGGGAAGGAAGAAAAAGAGAGGCGATAAATACAGGTATTCAGACTGTCTGCTTATTTGAAAAGCGTTTGAGTTAAAATTTTCCCCCTGTAAATTTGGTTTTGTGAATAGTGATAAATCCTCTGCCTGGAAGATTCAATAAGTGATGCTCTGATTATGGAACTAAGATTGAGGTATCCCTGGAGGGTTTAAAGTTTCCTATAGAGTAATCTGGTTAAGAGGAAGTATTTAAGACACTAGGAGAGGGAGTGGGAGATAAACTCTCTTCACATTTAAGAAGCTCCACTACTTATTTACATCTGGGATAAGATAGTCAAATAACTACTGAAGTTCTTCAACAAGTTACACAACAGGTTTAGTTCAAGTCAGTTGAAATGACAGGTTGTGTTCATTCAGAGGTCAGGTTCCTGAGCCTGTGTTAATCTTTGATTTTCTTCAAACTTTTAGCACCCGAGAGAAGACTGTAGCCTGCCTGCACCAGGCCCCTCCTAACACAACTCACTCACAAAGAATGTCCCCTTTGAGCCACTGTGATACTGCTGGCTACTCCCACAGATTCCTCAGGATTGGCTGGGCTTCCAAATAAAACACTGTTTGCCTATAGTTGAGTCGATAAGCTCCAATATAACTGAAGGCAGGCACCTGCTCTGGGCTGTAACATGCCGCACTCGTTCTTCTTCCCAAACGTTTTCACACAAGACCCGGAAGGGACACATTGTCTCTGGCCAAAAGAAATACTTAAGTAAGAAGAAAGCCTACAATGGGTCTTCTGGGCTCTAAAAATCCCAAAGCTAACATTCTTCTTTTGGGACTCGACTCGGCTGGAAAATCGACTCTTCTTTACAGGTTAAAGCTTGCTGAGACTCTTAGCACAATCCCAACGATTGGCTTCAACGTGGAGATGATACAGCTGGAGAACAGCAGCCTTGCGCTCACCGTGTGGGATGTTGGCGGACAGGAGAAGATGAGGACCGTCTGGGGCTGCTACTGTGAGAACGCCGATGGGCTGGTCTACGTGGTGGATTGTGCCGACCGCCAGCAGAGGCTCGAGGACTCCCGGAAAGAGTTCAAGCGCATCTTGAAGAATGAACACATCCAGAACGTGCCGGTCGTTGTATTAGCCAACAAGCAAGACTTGCCTGGAGCGCTGAGCGCCGAGGACATCACCAGGATGTTCAAGCTGAAGGATATTTGCAGTGACCGGAACTGGTATGTGCAACCCTGCTGTGCCACCACCGGGGATGGGCTGGCAGAGGGATTCAGGAAATTAACTGCGTTTGTGAAAAGTCACATGAAGACCAGAGGGACCTTAGCATTCTTCAGGCAAAAGTGAGGCTCTGGAAATGCCTTGAGAGAGACAATTGAGATGAAGTGGGAATGGGATTATCCCCCACCCCCACCCCGGTAAAGTTACTGAGTTTGCAAACTTTCCCAGAGATGTGATCTCACCTTGCTCACCTTGTTCACTGAGAGAACTCTGAGACAAACTACAGGGTAATGGTGGTTGAATTCTTTCAAATTGTTTCCAGCTCTTGCAGGTTTTGAATTTCTGCTTCTGAGTAATAGCTGAGTGATGTGAAAAAAAAAATGAACCTTAAATTATGGAGAGAAAAAAGGTTAACATTTTGTAAATTCTTGTTTTCTAAACTGAACCTTTCTTTCTCCTGGATTTCTATCAGCTTTTTGAAATCTATTGCTGGAAACTTCCTTCAAAGAGTCTTCAACAAAGAACTTCAGGCTAAATGCCCAGGGGCCAGTGTCCTCAAGCTGGGAGCACAAGTCTACACCTTATAGTTCTGGGAATTAGGGTAGAACCTTCTAGTTTAGGGCTAGCTCTAAGCATAGGGCTCAGCTCTAAGCTGCAGTCCCAGAAGCTGCTGCAGTGGAACTCAGTTTGGAAGCCGCATTACCTAGGAACACAGGTACGGCTCTTGGTACTGATCAAGCAGGAAGCCAATGCAGACTTTGCCCAGGTCACTAGGTGAAGTGACATGGAGCTGGCAGCTGGAGCCGGGCAGTATGGCTGCATGCCATTGCATGGGAGCCACCAGGGTGAGCAGGAAATGCTTTATGCAAGAGATGGAATCTGAAAGGTGCCTAACTGGGGACCCTGTGCCAAGGAAAGTCTTATCACTAGGGTAGTGACCAAGGAAAGGGGTGGCTGAGTGACGGGCAAAGGAGCTGAAGGTGGAGTTGGAATCCCTGTGTGAGGCCTGGAACTCCAGAAGAAGCCTGGTACCTTCACTCTTTCCTCTTCACCCCAGCAAGGCTCCTCTGGGCTGGAAGCAGGCTTCCCAGCTCCACAGCAGCCTCTGGGACTACGAATTTAAGATGACAGAAGAAAATAAAGGTATAGTAAGTCAAGGGTGCTGGCTCCTGGATTCCTTTTACAGTTTTCTTTTTGCCTCACAGCTATGATTTGCTCAGCAAAGACCCTTCTGTGCCACACAGTACAATTCAAGTAATGAAGATGCATATCAATGACTGATGGTTTCCTTATGTGTACCAGGCATTGGGACAGATACTTTCATATATCTTCTTGCACTTTTTTTCCAAGGGAAAAAACCAGGCATATTATCTCAATTTACAGATGGGAGTATTGAGACTAAAAAAGGGTAAATTACAATTTGCACTAATAGCTACTTGGTATTTTAAAATTATTTTATTTTTACTTAGTGTGTGTGTGTGTGTGTGTGTGTGTGTGTGTGTGTAGGCTTCTCTTTCCACTATGTGAGTCCTGGGGATTGAACTCAGGTTGTCAGGTTTGGCAGCAAGCCCTTTTACCCATTGAGACATCTTGCTAGCCCCACTACTTGGTATTTTAACTGGGGAATAAGCAGAGCCAAGATGTGAACTCAAGTGTGTGTGACTCCAAGCAAGGCCTCTGTTGTATATTACCATATTGTTTTACAGATAGGATATTGTTTCTGTCTCCACTGACCTTCCAAATGCACAAAAGCTGGGGCTGAGGGCATAGCTCACTGGTAAGAGTATCTTTCCCAGCATCCAGGAAGCCCTGGGTTTGACCCCAGTACCAGGGGAAAAAAAAATCCAGGTCAACATATACTGATTTTATAACAAGAAAGCTCTTAAAAAAAATAAGCCAAGCAGATGAGATTAAGCATAGTAACAGAGATAATAAAACATGCAGAAAGATTTGGTTTATGATTTCAGAAGATTTCAGGGGGGTGATGTTAAATGTTGAGTAGTTTTTCTCCCTAAGTTTCACAAATACATATCTTCCCTTACAATATCTTTCTGTGTTTTAAAAAATGTGTATGTATGTATACCATAGGAGTACAGGTGCCCTAGGAGACCAGAAAAGGGAGTCAGATTTCCTGGAGCTGGAGTTATAGGAGATTGTGAGCTGCCTGACATGGGTGCTGGGAACTGAACCTGGATCCTCTATAAGAACAGCCAGTGCTCTTAACCACTGAGCCTTCTTTCCTGCTCATTTTGTTTGGTTTGGTTTGGTTTTTTGTTTTTTGAGAGAGGGTCCTGGAATTAGCCATGTAGACCAGGCTGACCTTGATCTCATAGAGGTCCATCCACCTCTGCTCCTGAGTGCTGGGATTGTATGACAAATACATTTTGAGACCCTGTGAATATCCTGTTTTCCCAAAGCCTTTCACTTAATGGTCCTTATCTGAATTTGTTATTACACTGGAACACGCACAATGGTGATTCCCTTACCCCAAATCCACCATTCCTTGTGAATTTGCTGGCTGGCATTCTTCTGTAGGGTAAGCTTTCTTTTTTTTGTCTTTTTTGAGACAGGGTCTCCTTGTAGCCCCAGCTGTCCTGGAACTCACTGTGTAGACCAGGCTGGCCTTGAACTCACAGAGATCCGCCTGCCTCTGCCTCCCAAGGGCTGGGACTACAGGCGTGCACCACCACGGCCGGCTAGCTTTCTTTTTCATACCTTTTCTCCACAGTCTCTCTCATCACTGTTTTCACCTGTACATTTGAAAACATTTTTATTGTCATATCCTTTTAAAAGTCAACATTTTGAAATCTAGTTCTACTCAAGCTCAGTCATGAATCAGCACCTGCAGCACTGCCTGCAGCCGATTAAAAATGTTGCCAGTCTCCATCCAATGGAGTCATCGGAATCTCAGTGGAAAGGGGTGTGCAGGAACCTATACTGGGGCCAGCACTCTTATAATCCATTTCTGGCATCTCTGTCTCTTGTTGTTTGTCAAGGAGGAGAAGCAGAACCTGGGATTAAGTCCAGGGCCTTGTGCATGTCACCTAGATGAACATTCTGCCATGGAGATATAATCAGACTTCTCTTTACTTTGGGACTAGGCCTCTCTAAATTGCTTAATTTGGCCTTGATTTTACTCTGTAGCTCAGGCTGGCTTTGAACTCATGATTCCCTGCCATAGGCTTCCAAATAGCTGAGATTATAAGCCCCTGTCACCAGGCTCACCTAACATTATTCTTTTTTTTTGGCTTGTAAGTGCATTTTAAAATTTCTTTAAAATTTTTTTATTATTTTTATTTTATTTTTTAATTTTTTATGTGTATGTATGTGTTGTCTGCATGTAGATATGTGTGCCTGTGTCATGAAATGCCCACGGAAGACAGAAGAAGCTGTCGGATCCCCTGGAACTAGAGTTATGGACAGTTGTTAGCTGCCATGTGGGTGCTGGGATTCGAACCCAGGTCTTCTGCAAGAACAGTCAGTGTTCTTAACTGCTGAGCCATCTCTCCAGCCCCAGCATTTTAATATTTCATGAGCAACTGATTTATCATCACAGAGCATTCAGGAAACAGAAAACTCTGAAAGACAGAGAATCTAGTCATCCCTTCAAGTCTACTGGGCTCAGTCTTGGTTTGTTTTCTGGCATTCTCTCCTCCCCAAGGGAGTAGTGCAAATTTAAGGTCACCTAGAAATGCAAATTCTGACCTCTTCACTTCTCAAGCTATGCACCACACCGCCTAGTTATCATGTCCTTCACTCTGGTCGAAGGTCTACAGCTCTAATCCCTTTCCCAAAAGGTAAGTCTTTCAGAAGCTTCAAATTCTTAGCTGCTCTAAACAACTACCCTAGGCAGCAAAATTTCTCTGGTTAGTCCCTTTGTTTTGAACTTCTTGGTAGATGCTTACTTGACCTAAGCTGGAATTTTCTTCCATAAATGTAGGAAATGAAGTCATCAGATTCTACCATGAACAAGGTTTATCTTGGGGATAACTTTTAGGTGGTTTTCTTTGATGGACCTTGGACATGAGGTTTTTCTTGCAGTGTTCCTGGGCACCCTGTGTAAGTGGGACATTTATATTTTGTGACTGAAATAATAGCAAGGTAAAGATCCATCTTTAGCAGCTTGGCTTAAATAAAAAAAAAAACAGATGCTATATACAAAGAAGAAATAACCTTAAAATAATTATTTACTTGTATTAGAGAAAAAGTAAATTGTTTTAATATGACAAATTTCTTCTCATAGACACTCCTTAAGTTATACACAAAATGGTTTTTCTAAAGCAGGGTGAGTTTCTTTAACTTTGAGGCATTTTCCCACCAGCGTTCCATATATGTACTTTAGTTCTCTATTAATAAAGAACTTCAGAGATCGCAGTGAGAAGATACCATCTTTTTACCACAGGAAACTCCTGTAATGTAGTTTCAATTCTGGTCATTTTTAAACCAAAAGATACAATTTATATTCATTCTAAAATTTAATCTGTATAGAAAGCACACTGATCTCTATACTTTTAGAGACTATGGGTTTATATGTATGTAAACCCACTGATCGGGACCCAGATGTACCCTCCCAGAGTTCATGCAGAGGGAGAAAAAGGCTGGATCTCTGTTTCTCGCTTTGAAGTCACAGAGCTGCAGGGCCCTCTGCCTGGCAGACAGCTGCTTGATTCCCTCTTCTTCCACTTGGGTACAGTGAAGTATCCAGGACCACAGCCTTCTGCAGCCTGTTGTCTCAGGCTTGCTGACTCACATGGGCTCTCCACTTCAGGAAGGCCAAACCCTCCACTGTGGAAACGCTCCCTGTGTGTTCTCTTGACATTATTATTATTATTATTTTATTTTTTGAGATAGGGTCTCATTATTCAGCTCTGGCTGGCCTAGAAGTTGCTATGCAGACCAGTCTGGCCTCGAATTCATTAACTCCACCTGCCTCTGCTTCCCAAGGGCTAGGATTAAAGGCATGTACCACCATATCTGGCACCTGACATTATCCTTTCCCTCCCTCCCTTCCTCCCTCCCTTCTTCTTTCCTTCTTTCTTTTATGTGTATGAGTGTTATGCCTGCATGTATGTAGGTGCACCCTTGACATGCAGTACATGAGGAGGTCAGAAGAGGACATGGGATCCTCCTGGAACTGGAGTTACAGATGGTTGTTAGCAGCCATGTACATGCTGGGATTCGAACCTAGGTCTTCTGCAAGAACAGCCAATGCTCTTAACCCCCAAGCCATCTCTCCAGCCCCCTGACATTATTCTTATTGATGCCCAAACTGTTCCAAATTTTCCCAGGGAAAGCCCCTTTAAACTAGGTACTCATCTTACTGACAGGTCCTTTGAACCTGTCCTTGCTTGGAGAACACTGACAATTCCCCAGACTTACATTAGACTTTCCCTACCTGGCTACCTCACTCCTGGAACTAATCATGTCTCCAAGGAGTCTTGGTCTCTTTTATTCAGGAATGCATCTAGAAGCCAAGCAATGAATGCGAGCTCTGTTCATTTTTACTGAGAGATCCAGCACTAGTTGGGGGTGGTATAGAAAAAGCAAAAGCAAGGATATATATATTGAGCCCACACTTTCAGGCTTTTCTTTCTTTTTTCTATTCCTTATTTGTAACCTTCCTCTTCTATGAAGACCCTGGTTCCAAAAAGTATCAATAAAGGGTCTGGAGAGATAGCTCAGCAGTTAAGAGCATTGGCTGCTCTTGCAGAGGACTCAGATTTGGTTCCCAGCACCCACGTAGTGGCTTACAACCATCCATAACTCCAGTTCTAGGGGTTCCAACACCCTGGAGCTGGAGGGGTACTGCATATATGTGATACACTTACATGTAAGCAAACATTCATAAAATAAAACAAAAAAATTTTGTCTTTTTGAGACAGGGTCTCCCTGTAGTCCCAGCTGACCTGAACTCACTATGTAGACCAGGCTGGCCTTGAACTCACAAAGATCCTCCTGCCTCTGCCTCCCAAGTGCTGGGACTAAAGGCATGCGCCACCACTCCTGGCCAAAAATAAATATTTTTTAAAGCATTAATATATCTTCTCTATATTATCCTACAACACAACAAAATGCTTACAGAATCACTGTGCCAACACTCCACCTCTCACAAGCCCACAGAAAAATTCAAGGTTCATGTTAGCTCTTTCTGTCCTTATTCAGAGTGCTCTGTTCAAAAGCCATGCGAATTCATTTTTTGTATGTGTGATTACATTTATAGATATGCTGGTTTTGGAGGTTTATTTCACTATTTGTATTTTAAAGTTTGACTCTTGCCTTTCCATATTAATATTATTTAAAATTTGTATTTATTTTTATGTATATGAGTGTGTTGCCTACATGTATGTAAGTGCACTATAT